TTCAGGGTTTCCCTTCCTGGAGACAACTTTTTTGCCTTTACCTCAGGGCTTTATCTCATTCTCAACATATAGTCAATCTTAGTCCACACTAGCTTCCCACATGGAGCTTCCTGTGGTGCTGCTGCTCCCATAGCCACTGTAGTTTATTGTTCAGGGCTCCAGAGACACTGGGCTGCTGCTGAGCTTTGCAGCTCCTATTGTATGCCTCACTGGCTCCTGATTGGCTGGTTTTGTTCTGCCCCCACTCTAGTCTCCTGGAGAACTTCTCTATATGGCCCTTTCTGTTCTCAAAGCTTGGTCCACCCCATTACACAGGATACTGTGCTAGCATCCACATGACTCAGCCAGTTGTGATTTCATGGGAACACACAGAGCTTTACATTGCCTCCCTCTACATCTGACACATTTCTAGATGCATTTTCAAACTTCAGTTGAATTTGGACAAATAACTTTATCACCTAAGGGATGCCATGGAGCACCTTTACATTAAATAGACTAGATTTGGGACTGAAATGCATTTCCATCTCCCTCATCCGCACAGCTCACTGTTTCCAGGCAGCTTGTTACACTATTGAGTGGTTACAATGTGTGTACTTAATAGGTATGGCAATGAAATAGCCCTAGAAAACAGGACTAGTAAGAAGTAAGAAAGCCCTTCCAATAATCTGTGCCTTTTTATTTTAAAAAATAACTGGCAAGGCATTTTTACTGTTTTCATTTCCTGGTCACCATTTGGAGTCCACATGGTAATTGGTGGATGGAAGAGGAACCTACAAACCAGTGTTACTGGATATACACCGCTAGCCACAGTTTTTAATAAAGTTTGCACCGATTCTTAGAATGGAAATCATTTCCATTCCTATATTAATAAACATTATAATGGATCAAGAAATGTCACAGGCTGCAGGGTGGCTTTTCTCTCATCTGTGTCTGCTGCAGGCTGTGTAACAGATTGTTCCTCAGGGGTTGAGTATCAAACAGCATCACAGAGGCTGTCCCCAGGATGTGCTGCTGTTGCTTTGTCAGCAGATCCTCCTGCTGGTCTGATTTCAGGAATAGACTCTCTTTGCTGACCTCATGCTACATATGCTGTTGGCTCCCATCATTCCCCATTGTGGATTCTCGGGTGAGCAGAGCAACATCCAAGCTGACCCAATCACCATGTACCACTGTTGGCTGCAAGCTCTGTGCCCAGCATCAGGTCAAACTCCTCATAAAAAGGGACATGATATCAGCAAGTTGTACAAGATGTGATTCTGGTCCCTGGTTTTACTGTACCCATTCTTGAGATGCTTGATCTGCTCCCTGCAGTGCTCACTGGTCCAGTCCCGTCCAGTGCTCACTGGTTCAGTATGTATGCAATGCTCTCAGCTTCTTTGCTATTCGTTGGTATGAATGTTTGTTTCTCATATTCTTTCAGAAATCCAGTTAGCTGGCCTTGCACCAGAAAAGAAGGCTATGCTCCCAGGACTGGGAAGCAGCAAACTTAGGAAAAGGCTTGTTCTTGTCAGTCTCTAATGCAAATATGGAAGGCTCTCTGCTACTCTGTTTGCAGTTCGGTGGTGAGAAGACAATGGAAGGTTAACGCTGAATGACTGCTACACTAAAACAAGGAACTTGCATCTGTTTTCTCGGGAGTCAGTTGGAGATTCTTTGAATAGTGAAGGCAAATAAAGTTGACTCATGGGATTGTTGGACTCCCAGGACCTGAGTCAGGAGGGATGCATCAACATTACAAAGGAACATGGCTTGAACCCAGGGTCCTTGCTTGAATTGGAGTTGGACCTTCTATACTGTAGGGGCCTATGGTCCTGAGTCGATGCCAGAGTTGGAGGGTATGTCTACACTACCCCGCTAGTTCGAACTAGCGGGGTAGTGTAGACATACCCGGAGAGATTGTGTGTAGATGGAACGGAGTTTGAGCTCAAGTATGAGTTTGAGCCCAAGCTTATATTGCAGTTTAGGCATAACCTACTTCAGTTTCAATGTTGTGTGACCACTGTTTAAGTAACTAGATGTTTGACTACCCTGTTAGATGACACAGTTCAGCCAGATGTTAAAGCACACTGCCTAACTTCCTGAATAGTACCATTTCCTTTGATGAGAGTAATCACATTCATAAGTACATTTTTGAATTGAGATCTTCATGCACAATATTGTAGGTACCCATTTTAAAGTGGATGTGAGATAATGTACTTTAAATGATAGCACTGAAATCACTATTAAGCTTCATGAGTTTTACCAAGACTGTCATCTCAAGGGCTATGTCTAGACTGCAAGCCTCTTTCGAAAGAGGCTTTTTTGAAAGTATCTTTCGAAAAAGCCTCTTTCGAAAAAGAGCGTCTAGACTGCAAGCAGTACTTTCGAAAAAGCAAGCCGCTTTTTCAAAAGAAAGCAGCGAGTGAGTCTGGATGCTCTCTTTCTAAAAAGCCCTGTTGGCATTCAAGAACGCCTTTTTTCAAAAGAGCACTTTCGAAAAAAGGCGTTCTTTCTCATGAAATGAGGTTTACTGCCGTCGAAAGAAAAGCCGCGTTCTTTCAATTTAATTTCGAAAGACCGCGGCTGCAGTCTAGACGCAGGTGAAGTTTTTTCGAAAAAAGGCTACATAGCCAAGAGGACGTATGGGTTACAGTGTCATTATTGTGACATTACAGTATCAAAATATAAGGTGGAGCTATGGGTTACCTTGAAATATGCAGATACACATAGGAGCAATTTGTCATAAGGGTTAACCACAATCTGTCACTGAATAGATAATGTAGCATATCTTTTTAAAGAGACTAGTCATTATTTGCTTTCTGTTACTTTCTAGCAGAGAAATTGAAATGATAAATTTCACAAATAATATTCAAAGACATTCAAAGATTATTACATTTTTGTTTCCTGAGGAGGGAGGAGCAGAGATAAGGTGGGGGAATGAAGGATTACCTGGAAACAGAGAGAAAGCAAGAGAGGCCAAATATCACAACATTTTCCTTTCCCTCATGTATCCCAGAAACTCCTTTACTGCATAGTGTTGGTGCAGTGTAAATTTATTCTTCAGTCAGGTTTATTTCTTTTTCATACATTCATTTATGAAGATTTCCCCATCTGTATGGCCTTAGCATAAACCAGCCACAGAAAATTTATTCATTTAATATGTTTATTCATGCAACAGGACTTTTAATCATATTTTACCTTTTCTGTGATTAACATTTATTGATCAGGTTATTCATTTATGAATTATTCATTTAAACAGTTTTACTGTAAATTAAATATGCAAGTGATCTGCTAATTTAATAGTCTCTTTCTCTTCTTTTTAAAATTTTAACCATGGTTCTGTGATCAACAAATTCTAGGTGTTTTCAAGCCAGTATTTTAGTAAACTATCACAATCACATCACTAATGGAATTTACCAAAAAATAAATATTGTTTGAATTTTAAATAAACCCCTTAGATAATAGATAGTATACGGCTACAAAAAGGAAAATGTGCAAGCTTCCTTTACAGTGCAAGATAAAAGTATAATATATGGCATACATCAACATAGGAGTAGTGGATTTCTAAAAAAAAAAAAAAGCCAAATTACTCATTTCAAGTCACATGCACTTTGTGGAACAACACAGGCTATTTGAAGAGACACTTACAGAATGAACTGGCTGTGTGGTATTCAAACCTTCTTTATGCCACTGAAAGCAAAGTTAAAAGAAATGGGTCTTGAATTCTGTTTATATGCCTGTTTCAAAACCCACTGAGGTCAATGGAAAATATACCAGTGACTGGAAGATGATCTGGATCAGGCCCTTAAAGATTAACAAGTCTGGCCTTTGTCTTATAGTGGTAGCACTAAATTTCAGAGCTGAGAGCCCTTCCACTGAGAATTCTTACCATCCCCCAGTTATTTAAATGTAGAGGCTGTTAAATTGGAGTGTCCCAGGAGACTTCAGCAGTCACAGCAGCTCCCAGGGAGAAAGACAGCCTCTTTGACAGCTAAGACCCAAAACATGTAAGGCTTTATAAATCAAAGTTTCAAAGTACTTTGAACTAGCTGTTAAGTTACAAAACTAGCTACAAATAAAACACTCCAGACACAACACCACCACAAAACATGCCAAAACCAAACTCACCCCAGCAAAAAACCTACAAAATAGAGCAGACAGTATTGACAATGTATCAAAGATATACCACCAGAGTTTTCTACTGAAGCTGAAGAAAATTGGATGCAAGAGGATATCCACTTGAAGTGCCTGATCAATGTTTTAAAAAGCCGCTATAATAGTAACCATAGGACAGAGCACTGCCAATGTCTTCCATTATTAATCAGCATGCTGCTCTGTGAAGACTTGCCTTTCTTGTTCATTTATATGGAGTTTTTCAAATGTGCATAAGAGGTTCGTTTAGGTTTAGCAATCTCTAGGCGAGAGTTAATCTAGGGAGTGAATGTTTTTATTCACAAGCAAAAGATGATCCTCTTAGATGCTCACATAGCTCTTAGAAACAGTCTCTACTCATATTGAGCAAAATCCTATAATAACTAATATCTGCAAGACCTGCTGTCTCAAATGTAAGATGAAGTGCCTGATGCAATACTAAATTTAATTTAGTCAGAAACCATCTCATTTTACTTCTATGGGTGACCTAACTTCTATCCCTCTGTTAAAGGATAATAATCATTTTTCTTAGGGCTGGGAGAAAATGATACTTTTATTCCTTCAAAGCAGCTGCAAATGCCATTGTATGGCTCTGCTAGCAAGACATTGTTATTCCTCCATTTTCCTAATAATGGACATCTTAATGAACAGAATATGACATTATGAATAAATAGCCTGTACACATATGTTAGGTGTCAGAAGAATTACCATTTTTTTAAATAAATATGCTGAACATTCAGGCTTATGGTCATTGGTTCCTAGCTTTTTACTGCAAAGTAATTTGTGCTTGATAGTCTTCTCATTTTCACTGTCTGGTTTAATACCAACTAAATCTGATTGCTACAAAGGAATCTGGGGAGTTTACTTCTTATTGGTTAGCTTTTAAAATAAGTTCAGCAATATGATTTGAAAGAGGACTGTGAACATAGCAAAGCATAGACAAAGGAAATTGTGTCTAAAACATGTAAATCCTACACCAGCTAACATGTTTTTAATCACAATTTAAACTGTCTGTCTACCTCGACTGAGAGTTATATAACTGACTTTAATGGGGCCAGCTTTCACCCTTTACAAGAGAAGACACTAAGAGAAAGAATGATTTGTATTTGTGATTTTTAATTTTTTTTATAATACACTAGAAATTTCCTTTCCACTGCATTATAAAAGGAGTCATCAAGTTTCCGTATAATCATTTGGCTAGTGCTGACTAGAGCTAATATGAAGTGCAGAACATGTACCATATTCTATCCCATGAATAGGTTTTCACTTTGAGTAGACAGTATTTCAAAGGAATAGCCCCATACTGAAGCTGCACTGAAACAGACAGCAGCAAACGGATAAATTATGACAGATTTTCTGCATCCAGGGCTTTTCTAAGTTTAAAAACAAAATCACTGACTCTACAATAGCCAAATAGTATTACTATTAATTTCTCATCTTCAAGAGCATTAATTTTCAAACTATTTTGAGGAAGAGAGAGAGAGAGAAGTTACTACTGTGCCATTGATACAAGTTTTATGAATATTATTCAATAAAATGTTATCTAAACATAAAGACAGGTTAAACAAAGAGCAACATGCAAATGCATTGTTCATAGGAATTCTAAGAAAAGATACTTTGTGTTTTTCAAAAGCTCTCAGCCACAATGGTGATAGACACAGTAGAAATCTCTAAGGCTAAGTCTACATTGGGAGATAAGTTTGAATTAAGATACACAACACCAGCTACATTAATTGTATAGCTTGAGTCGAAGTATCTTAAACTGAATTTTGGTGCCATCCACACTGCAGGAAGATGAAGGGAGCACACTCTCCCTTTGACTTCCCTTAATCCTCATAGGAGCAGGACTACTGGCATCAACAGGAGCACCCTCTCAGTTCAAATTAGTGTATTTTCTCTAGACCCGCTAATTTGAACCCCCGAAGATTGACTGCAGCCGTTTCGATCTTCTCTGTAATGGAGACACAGCCTAAGACAGATAAACCCCATCCATATTGCCATTGTAGGAAGAAAAGAAAGTACAAAACATAGCTTGACTAAAATACCAAATTTAACTTCAAATAAGTATAATTTATCTCATTTTCACTCTCAGTTATTGCTTAATTTTAAAATTAAAGTTTATACATCGATTTCTTTCTGAAATGCTATCCGGGTGAGTCTGAAAAAGTCCCGCATTCTCCCAGCTTAAGATTCACAGAGGAAATCAATCACATGCCAGTTATTGCATTATTAGCCTTTTATTTCGCTGCTCTAAAGACAATAAATGTCATGTTAACGATTTCTGTGTGTAACTTAAATGTCAAAGAACTGCTTTGGATAAAATTGTCTTTGAGTGGCTAGGAAAGGGTGGATGAGGATTCAGTGGGCTCTCTTCACACACAAAAAACCAATTGTTTTGATATTATTATTGATTTTATCACCACTGTTTTTACATAAGTTATTATATAGAGAGAGAATATGAAAATGAACTTTAGGTTCTTATTCATGATAAATCCTTTGAAGACATGAATATGCACTTTATAGAAATAAGTGAGAGAGAAGCTGAGCAATATTAAATCATGTCACTAGCTTGTGAACTGGAAGTGATGTGCATGGATAGTACTGAATCAGAAAATGAGAGAAGGAGAAAAACACAGAGACAGACAGGTTCAGATCCTTTGCCTGTTTATCAACATGACCTGTAATGACTTCTGGACC